AACTTTGGCATTGCATTACGTCTACTACATTCTTAGTTATTAACAACGTGTCAGTGACTACAAAACAGTTTAGAAAATAGTAAAATACATTGTAAAAATACAAATAGTTAGTACATGGGTGACTCATCACTGCGGCCACCATTTTGGATAGGTGCTAGGCGTTGCGACAGGCTTCACTTTACCGTTTGGCATGCCAGGTCTATTTCAATTCTGTGGTCGCTGGTTTCAGTCCTTTATCATGGTTAGTTAAACACAATTCTCTGTGCCAAGTACTGTTACCTTAAGGTTAACAACTAACAGTACAGGCCTATACAGACAAAACAAATTTGCACTTGCTAGTTATTTAGACTTATTTTATTTATAAGAGGTTTTACCCGCAAATTCACGGGAGTACATAGCAGCCACCATTAAATTAATTAAATCAATTTTGATTTTATATTTCATTCAAAGGGCCCAAGTTCGAAAAATTATCATCAGAAGGAATGTTAAAAGCAGCGGGACCTTCATACCTTACATCCTGAAGTGGCCGAGGTGAGAAGGCCTACGGTTGTACCTGAACTCGTCGCCCTCTTTCTTGAAGATAGATTTTAGAGATAAAATAGATAGATTTTATTTTTTGTTTTGTAGAATTCTTGAAGTGGCTATTTGTTATTCCAGATTTAAATACTGTACTCTTTTTTACTTTTTAATCTTATAGGTATTGTACAATTTTCATGAGTGATTCCATCTTTCTTTTTGGGTTAACATTTAAATTTTGGTAGAGAACTTTTAAATTCACCAAAAAACACATAAAAATCATGCAACAGACACCAAAAGCACTTAAATTTATTTCATAAAAAAAAAACACTAATTAAAATTTATATTACCGTACCATTTATATTGAGCATGCCTATACATGTGATATCCACAAGGTTGAGCTGTACAAAAATTAATGAGATAGAGTGCAAACTTCGCAATGTGAGGTATTGATTGAACTATATTGTAGAGAAATACACTTGGTCGGCACAATACCTCATGTGTATAACCATGCTATATCCTACTAATATTATAAATGAGAAAGTTTGGATGTATGGATGTATGTATGTTTGTGACAAGTAAAAACGAAAAATACTGGTCGGATTGGGCTGAAATTTGGTGTGATGATAGCTCACATTCCCAATTAACATATGGACGCATTCTTATTGCAAAAGTCCTTTTGGGATCCGCCCCAGTGGCTCTGGAGTTTCCCATGTTAACCTTATGAGTAATCATATTTAAAAGGAATAAAATAGTTATGTCAGCTGTTTCAAATACACAAGTTGGATCTATGGTATTAAATAGCATTATAGTTCGGCCGCTTAGAAAACGATCTGCGCGCTAATGCTAAACCAATGCTGGAGGAGGTCGTTTTCTAAGCGGCCGACCTATAACAAGTTATAAGGTTTAGCAACAGGGTGTAACTATTTTATACAACAAATGTGAAGACCAAAAATTTTCTATTTTGTGTCCTCTTCCCTTTGCAAAGCACGGGTACAACAGCTAGTGACTTCATATTTTACTAATTTGTTGGTCTTGAAACTATCTTATGTCTTATATCTGATCCGTTTGATTCGGCCAGCAAAATCTAATATTCTAATCTAATGCACGAGCTGAGACACACTAGTTGCACATATTCACCATTCGTCCATAACTTCATAAACAATCAATAAACTAGCCAAACGTCTAGTGTTGTTTAGTAGTTACATTTATTGCTGACTTCCCTTATTATTTAGGCTACTAAAGTACTGCACTACTTCACATATATGTGTTGTTACGCGAAGCTTATACAGTGGCGGTTCTAGGACCTTGTCAAGGGCGCAATAAAGGAGGGGTGACCGGGGGCCCTCAAATTTTGTTATTTTCAAAGCCGTTTGGTGACTTTCTAATGCCATTTTAACACCTAAAACTGTGTCCAATTGTCCATAAACTGCCATTTCACCTGTTGTTTGTTTTGATCAAGTAGGCATTTAAAAAATTAAACTATGACGATTGCATTCATGAATTTCAAAACATACTGTAGACTACGACCATATCCTCATAAAAGCCCTTTGGTGACTTTCTATAGTTATTTGTGTAACTAGTGGTGAAAGTGGCACTTTGCTGCACACGAGAGCAATGTTTAGCACGAGCCGCAGGCGAGTGTGGAATGATCTCGAGTGCAGCAAAGGCCTTTTTCACTCGTGTTACACATTATATTTTTCCTACAGTCACTATAAAGCATATAAATAATTAGTCTTTCAAACACTATGCAACACGTTTTTAGGTTCAGCTGGCAACACAAATGGTGCCCTAGAGAAAGTAGTACCTGCGGTCCATATCACTCCGCTATTTTTCCTCGGCAAGAAATGTGCTCCGTGTTTTGAGAATATAGTTCCGTATGTTTTTGTAATTTGAAGTGGTTTCCGCGCCTAAAAAAATGCTTAAAAGGTATTTTCTTGTTTATTAAGATCGTAGGAAGGTTTTAAAAACGTTTAAAAGAAAAGTCCAGAAAGTTCAGAAATACCGAAACTATAAACACGAAATGACAGGTTAAATCGTAGTTATAATAGTCAGTCAGCTGCTCATAGTATAATTATCTTTAAGTGTTGCCAACTTATTTCCAAGCGTACACGGATTACGTGCATAATGGAACCACGCTGTTTTGTGTTGTTTCGTTGGAATCCTGATGTGCGGCAAAGTATAAACCGTACGGCAAAGTATAAACCGTACGGCAAAGTATAAATATGCAGCAATTAGCAGCTTTCTGTACTATAAACAGTACAAGGAAGCCAACTTTGTCGGGTGACTGTAGGAAAAAGCTATTTTTTATGTCTAGAACTGTGTCCAAAAACCTCCCTTTCCCCTTTTATTTGTCATGCACAAGTAGACCTTTTTAAAACTAAACTATGACAATTAATTGCATTCATAAATTTCAAAACACACTGTAGGCTATGTCCATATCCTCCCAAAAGCCGTTTGATGACTTTCTTAAGCAATATTAATGTCTAGAGCTGTGTCCAATTGTCCAAAAACCTCCTATTTCACCTGTTATTTGTCATGAGCAAATAGACATTTAAAAAATTATACTGACTAACTTGCATTTTTTTATTTTAAAATATATACTGTACTAAAGCCATATCTCCTAAAAGCCGTTTGGTAACTTTATAATGCCGTTTTTAACGCATAGAACTCTGTCAAATTATCCAAAAACCTCCCTTTTCACCTGTTATATGTCATGCAAGGAAATAGACTCGTTTTTTCTCCTTAAGTTTTTCTTCATTAGAGAGATCTGTCACAGTTTTTGGCACTACATAAAATATTTAAACTAGCCAACAATAGCAATAAACAAGTCACAGTAGACAACCCACAATATAGTACTGTATCAATCAAATGTCTACTGGCTACTGTAAATGTGTAACAGTGTGGCTGTTATGTGTAAATGGCTACTGGCGATACCGCTGATGACTGATGTCTGTCATTGTCAGTAGATAGCAGACAATTTGACAATTAGGAACATGAAATCAGCTGTTTCCCTGTCCTCGTTTTCGCGCTCGCCTTTGCCCTGGCCTAGCATGTCAAAAGCTGACTGCTGGAAAAATTGGATAATGCATACAACTTAGCATAGTGTAATATTGCTTTTTTGGTCGTGCTATTGCCCCACAAAGTTTTTTTTCTATGTGGAACTTAATACTAATCCTGCCATTACTTATTTAGTTTGGTAAAAGCTACATTGCTGTCTGATTTATAATATTGCACATTTTAAGGATGAAATGTATGTTAAAATGATTTTTCCAGGATTCCAAGGGGTGGCTTTAGCCCCTGTAGCCCCCCCCCCTCTTTGAACCGCCACTGAACGTATACTTTCATTTAAAGTATTATCTTGGTTCGGACTATTGTAGTCTAGTCATGGGTCTTATTTCAAGGTGTTCAGAAAAGAAGGAGCCAACTGTAAATTGGCTGTCTAAAGGAACAACTGATATTGGTAACAAAGCTACCTATTTCATACTCGTCTTTCATTCATATCTAATTTGATTGAGATATGCGGAGTTGCGGCCCCATACGGTACCTAGTGATTTGGCGTTTTTACCCATTCTTGACACATGATTACATAAAAATAATCTAAAATGTAAATACCCCCGCCGCAGCAAACCTGCAGACTAAGCGAATTTCCATTTCCCTGAATGGATTTACACTAAAATGTCTCCTTAAAAATATCACATTTATTCCCTATTTAAATAGAATCAGTTTAAAACATACTTAGGTTTGCTGCAACAGGGAGGGTAAAAGTGTTTTTTATGTAAAATGTTAATAGTTAGTAAGAAATAAAAACATTTTCCAAATTTGGGCAAAATTTAACATAGGAATTAAAAAATTTACAATTTTTTGGAATTTTCTCCGTAACCATTAGGCGCATTATAACGCTTCAATACTAAATTATTTGTTGTTTTAAGCTCTACAAAATAGTTTCGAAAGAAATTGCAAAATTTTATGTTTTTTGGGTCAAAAATGGGAAAAACCCATTTTTACCCCATAAAAGCCCCCATAAACCCCCGTTCCCATGGTCCGATCATGCTGGTTCGCGAACTCGTTCGAATAAACGTAGGTTTACACGTTTGTACCAAATTTCATCAAAATCGGATCATTTTTGCTCGAGTTATCGCGCTAACGGACACATATATATATATATATAAATATATATATAAATATATATATATATATATATGTATATATATATGAATTTGAACGGATGGTGTTTTTGACCTCTAGGGACCTCAAACGAAAAAAAAAATCGGTCCCGGGTCCAGGTCTTACCGTGAGTACTACGGTAATAGCTTATTCCCTATATGGGAAATTCGCTAAAATGGAAATAATGTAAAATAATTAAAATGGAGATCTCCGTTGAGATAAATAAATAAATGTGGTTGCAATAATACAGGAAATCACAAATATTTATAACCATTTAATTAAAACATTAATAGATAAATTAAATTCTGTGTATTTAAACAAATAACTGTAACTTTATTGATTGAAAATCCATCAGTATTTATTTACAGTTTTCAACTTAATAAGATGAAAAAACACCAAATTTGGCTGGTAAAATTTACTACAATATTAGCTTTTATATTCATAAACCCAGAAAATTACACAAGTTGTAGTACTTTCTCTGTGAATGTTTGGACTTTTCTAAGCATCCATAAAGTTCATTGACCTTTAAACAGTCCGTCTTACTCATCATCTTCCGCTGTCCCAACTTTGCTCCTGGATATTTTGCAGTGATTGTTGGCTTTCCTTTACCTTTACTGAAACAAGAATTTTCATCATATATCATTTGTATATATATACAAAATACTATTATTTGTATGTTTCTCTCGTACTGTGGACATTGATAGTATCACAGGGTTTTCTTGTCAGTTTTCATCAAACCTGTTATAGTGACTTGGTTTGAGTACTTGTTTATGGCTACTTACGTAGGAGCCACGTTGTGCCCCCCCCCCCTAACATAAAAAATAGTTAATTTTTTTTCAATTCTATGTTGTTTCATCTGCCAAATGTGCCAAACAATACGTCACTCATCACATCAATTGTTCTATTGTTATGCATAAACAGCTGACCAACAATACAAATTCAAATAAAAATACATTTCTTCCACTTTCTTAAATGGTCCCTCACAAGTTATTTATACAAAGTTTTATGGGGGTATTATAGATTCCCTGGTAGTGCCCCCCACCCCCCAAGGCCATGGCACCTCTGGCTACTTATCTCGACCTCGTCGTAAAAGTGTTCAAATATGCAAACTAGGGCCAGTGTTTTCATTTTAAGGTTGTAAAGGTGTTACCGGCTTTTTTTCAGTAAAAAGGTATTTTTAAGAAGCACACCTAACTGTTGCAATGGAAAATAACCACAGTAAAATTAGTTAATTTAAAATACCCCCGCCGCAGCAAACCTGCAGACTAAGCGAATTTCAACTTGTCTGATTACATTTCTGCTAAAATGTTTCCATAAATAAGACAAATTTATTCCAAATTCAAATAACATTAGATTTAATTAGTGCCTAGGTTTGCTGCTACGGGGAAGGTAAAAAGTGTTTTTTCACCTTACGTTAATAGTATCATAGACAAAAATAATGAAATATAGACCGTCAGCTGTGCTGCGGTTACCACAAGTTCTGGCGCACACCGCTGGGATCGCCGTGGTAGTTACAGCGTACGCGCTACGTAAACTACAGCGGTGTGCGCCGGAACTTATGGTAACCATGGTAACCGCAGCACGGCTGACAGTCTATATTTAATTCTTTTTGTCTATGATAGTATAGGATGAAAAAAAAAATTTGCCAAATTTTTTCAATATTTATCCATTAACGAGTAAACTACAACAGTTTTCATTTTCTCCATAAGAATAACATGGGAATTTTAAATTACAATATTTTTGAACTTTCTCCAGGCATACAACAGCGCTTCAATATACTAAATTATTTATTTTTTTAAGCTCTACAAAACGGTTTAAAAAGAAATTGCAAATTTTTGTGTTTAGGGTTAAAAATTGGAAAACCCCATTTTTACCCCATAAAACCCCCGTTCCCATGGTCTGATTATGCTGGTTCGAATAAACATAGGTTTACACGTTTGTACCAAATTTCATCAAAATCGGATCATTTTTGCTCGAGTTATCGCGCTAACGGACACATATATATACATATATATATGAATTTGAACGGATGGTGTTTTTGGCCTCTAGGGACCTCAAAATGAAAAATTAAATCGGTCCCGGGTCCAGGTCTTACCATGAGTACTACGGTAATAGCTTATTCCCTATATGGGAAATTCGCTAAAACCATTTTAAAATCTGGTAGGGGAAACTTGAGTGAATTTTTATCTTACAGTCATATCATATGTCATATTAAGTTAAGGCGATTTCTACAAAACACTACTCCTCCGTTAATAATGGACGGATTTTTACAAACGATGTGTCAAAATTAAGTATTATTTTTGTTGATGTCCCCTTTCACCTGTAATAAAAGTCCTCGGGCTTTACCCCACGGGCCATCAAAATCCCAATGTATTTCTTATGAAGAAAAGATTTTGTTTACTTAAACAGACGAATAATTTGTGTTAATTGCATATTAAGAAACAGCTGTTCATAGTAAACACATGATACACACAAGAGCGTTCGTTTTCAGTTTCGATAACTGGATTGGAGCGATTGATTACATTATCTTTGAGTTGACTCTTTTAAGTCATCGGAAATTATGACCCTTATTCATTTTGAAATAACGCCTGTAATAGTTTGCAATTGCTCAAATTCGAGCAACAGGTGCACTAGTCTTCAAAAATATTTGTCTTAACTGTTAAAAATCATATACTTTCTGATGTAGATAATAAAAAATTCAGCTATCTACAAAATCAGAATAGATAATTTATTTTTGTAAAAAAATACAACCGACTTCAAACGCTCTAAAAAGAATGAAATAATTTCAATAAAGTAAACTTTTGTATAAGGCAAGCTCACGTATTTTAAGTCGGCGCGGCTCTATGATGATTTTTGATACAAAATTGAAAGAGGGTGTCCATATTGCAGGTGACTATCTATAACTAAAGGTGTTAATCTGCATGTCTTTTTCATAGCTATGCGTTAAGTGTTATTTTATTACCGTAATCAGAGATCGGCATTATAGTGGTATTAACGAGTATCTACAAAACACGGATTTAAGAATTGGATAGATATAGAGATCAAAGAAGAAAGGCAAAACTTATTAAATGCTTGTAAAAACAAAAGGAAAAATAAAAATATGACAGTTAAATTGAACATAAAGCAGCAAAAAAGAAGGTTAAAAAAACTCATAATTGAAAAGAAGAAACAATACTTTCACAATAAAATCACTTTATCTGAAAATGTAGCAAAAACTACTTGGAATTTAATCAATACTGAACTTGGACGAAATTCTGCTAATTTACCATCCCAGATTATTTTAAAATATAATGGAAATTCTGTTACTGACCCTGTGGAAGTTGTCAACATAATGAATAATTACTATGCTGACTTAGTTGACAGCACAATAATTCCAAATTTGAATAATAAAGATTCCTTTGGGGATAGCCCCAAGCAGTCCAATGCTGTTATTGCTGATAAGTCTAGATTTAAGTTTCATACTATATCTGAGGAACAGTTAGATAAAATAATTAATTCAGTAAAGAACAAGTGGTCATCTGGATATGATGACATCCCAACAAAAGTCATTAAGGCTTCAAAAAGAGCAATTCTTAAGCCTCTAATGCATGTTATAAATGCTTCTATGATATCTGGAGTATTTCCCACAGAATTAAAAGTATCAAAAATCATTCCAATATTTAAAAAGGGTGACAAGAAGGATCCTGCCAACTACAGACCTATTTCAATCCTACCATCATTATCAAAGTTTTTTGAAAAGTGTATGTTGATGCAACTAACTGATTATTTTGAAAAAAATAGCTTATTAGATTCGGAACAGCATGGTTTTAGACAAAATAAATCAACTATTACTGCAGTCATAGCTTTTGTTGAACATATTGTGGATAAATTAGACAAAGGTGACCATACTGTTTCTGCATTTCTAGATCTGACTAAAGCGTTTGACAGTGTATCCCATTCTATTTTACTAGAAAAACTAACTTCTAATGGTATAATTGGCAAAGATTTCGCTTTATTAAAATCATACCTAATAGGTCGAAGGCAATATGTGGAAACTAAACACCTCAATGGCAATAGATTATTTAAAATAAAGTCAAAAACTAGATTAATTAAATATTCCGTTCCCCAGGGATCAGTCCTGGGACCATTCCTATTCCTTATGTATTTAGGAAAGTTACCAGAATGTCTTTCAAACCTAACATTAAATAATAAATTTTGTATTTTTGCAGATGATATTAATCTAACGATAGCTAGTAGCAATAGAAGTAATGTTTTTGATCAATTATCCCTAGCAACAAACAAAGTTAACGAAAGACTAAGTAACTTGAACCTTTTAACTAATAAAAATAAAACAACAATAATTAAATTCTCTTGTAAAAATGGTAATCCAAGGAATGACACAGAACCAACAGACTGCCTTAATACTGTTGACCTTGCTGAAAAGTCAAAGTTCCTTGGTATTTTACTGGATAGAAAACTGTCTTGGTCAGATCATGTAAATGAGGTCTGTTCAAAAGTTAGTTCAGGAGTCTTTGCTCTGAAGACATTGTCCTCTTTTTGTGACATCAAAACATTGCAATCAATGTATTTTTCAATGGTCCATACCCATATTGGGTATGGTCTTGAAGTATATGAAGCAACATCAAATTTTAACCTCAAAAAAATTTTACATCTTCAAAAAGATGCAATAAGATCAATGCTTAAATTGGATTTTGATGCACACTGTAAAAAACATTTTATTGTATTGGGTATCATGACAGTTTATAGCCTTTATATTTACAAGACTGTTCTTCATGTTAAACGTAATATTTCAACATTTACTAGAAACGTCGATAATCATAATTACAACACAAGAAACCGATATAATTTCCAAATTAATAAGCATAAAAAAGAAATATTTAAACAAAAACCATCATACATTGGAATACAATTTTTTAATCAATTACCAATAAAAATAAAAAATGAAACAGATGACTACAGATTTAAAAACGCTCTAAAATTACATTTGACACAAAATGCTCTCTATAAATTCAAAGATTTCTGGGCTAAGCAATAACAGCATTGACTTAAAATGTTTTAGGCCTATTGCTGTTTCACTGAACTATATTTTTGTTTTTTGTTTTCACTGAAGTATACTTTTGTTTTATACCTACTTGAGAGATGACTGTATTGTTTTGTTGTTTTGTTTTTGTCTATTGTATTTGTCTTTTATTTGTGTTCATATTTTATGTAACGATGAATTTGACACCATTCTTGTATATACAATATATACTAATGAATAAAGATGTTTTGAATTGAATTGAATTGAATACTAAAAACAGAATGACTGTAAACACAAATCAGGTCAAACGTTAAAATACATTTTTTATAGTAACTTAAACAAAAGGCATTTTTCTCAATGTTATTCATTTAGGCTCCATGGCAAGTAATAGTTTATTGATCAATATGAAGCAACTGTTTCATGAAGAATTGTCTGTAGCTTCATTTAAACTAGAGGTCGTCCAGTGGTTGAAACTCGACCAAAAATATGTAATGTACTCACTTCTCTATTTTCACCCCACACTGTAAATAAAACATGTGATTGGAGTTTCTTCCATTTGTTTTGATTTTCTGTTTATATTTCGTTGTTATTTCGTCACTAGCATGGCAACGCATAAGATCCATGTTAATTTTTTCCAATTTTTAAACTCATTTTTTGTGCTTATGTTTGAGCCTATTTTAATTTATAAAGGGATTCTGCACACCTACAGGAAAATTGCTTTCTAACGGTATGCGCAGGTTTACCCCACGATGCACACAAGCTGAGAAAAAAGGTTTTAAAGAAACATGCTTGCCTATTAATATATAGATAGAAGATGGTTTCAACTAACAGCTGTAGGAATGTTATTATTATTTATTGCCTTTTCTGCACAAATGTAAACAATCTGCACAAATGTAAACAAAATAAATGTTGAATATTTAAGGTTTTCAGAATTTTTCACCGAAACAAATATTATACTTAAACATAATATATAAGGTACCAAATAGAAACTCTCCTGGTTATTTTGGTGCTGGAACCACACTGATCGGTAAAAAAATCACAGAGAAATTGGTGAACATACATAGAAAAAAAAAACATCCCCACAAACAAATTGAGAACCTCCTCCTTTTGTTGGTAGTGGGGAAGTCGGTTAGTAAAATACAGTAGTACATTTCATCACCGAGTGTAAAATGACTCTCTGAGTTTCACTACGGAAGAAAAGCCTCAGTCGGAAAATGAATGAGGATTGAAAAGACACTTTTTGCTGGTGTGATGAACTGTATATTTTTTTACCATTATTTAAGCAAACTAAGTTACAAAACAAAAATACTATTCATTTAAAGATATCCTCTCAAAACAACTCTTAACTTTCAATAATTTTTCTAATGCAAACAAGCAGCTGTTTAGTAAATGACTAGCAGTTACCCGGCGTGCGTTGCTGCGCTTAACAACTATTGACAGGAATGCTACAATAAGCAACAACCGATTCAAACATTCGCTAGATGCAATTGCTTACAATCATAGTTAACAATCAAGATTCAAAATTCAGATTTTTACTCCATAGAAAGTTAAAAAGGTGTGTCACCATAGACAAATAGAATAAATATAGACTGTCAAAGGAAGCTTCCGGCGCCCACCGCTAGGAGTGCCGTGTAGTTATGGCACACACCGCTGCAGGCAAGGAGTGCAGGAGCTGTATGCTACCAGCAGACGCTGCAGCAGTGTGCGCCGTAACTACACGATACTCCTAGCGGTGGGCCCCGGAACATATGCTAACCGCAGCACTGCTGCCGGTCTATGTTCATTCTATTTGTCTATGGTTTCACTCCCTAGGGACAAAAAGAGACTCTTAATGCATGGATTAAAAATTGATGTTTTTTCTTTACTAAAAATGAGGATTTACCTTACAAATTTTAAGTGTTCAGTTTTATAATATATTTTCATACTCACCTGAAGAAGTATCTTCCATAGTGCATAATGCTGTCGTAATCATATTCAAACTTATAAGTTGTGTTGTCCAAACTTTGTTTGTCAAAGTTTGATTGGAATCCTGAAAATTAATTACTGAACTTAAAATCCTTACATTTTTCAACCTTCTAAAAATTCAATTTTAGAACAAAATGTTAATTTTACTAACAGGAAAAATTAAAGCGGCCCACACACTAGGGCGCTTGTGTGCGCACGTGTGACGTGCAAACAGCACGAGGCACATTGCCCATTACCTGTTGTTGAATTGTAACTGTATTTTTGTCACTATTTTATTAATTAGGCTAATTTGGAATAATGAGACAAAAACAAATATATAACAAAGAAAAGTCCGGGTATTTGCAGTAAACATCAAATAAAACTTTGTTTTCGTTGGTAATTTCCAAGTTTTCTTATAAATAGTCTACAATGTAATATTTTTGAATTTAACCTTGATTTATTGCTCGATTTATCACGCTAACGGACACATGTGTGTGTTTGTGTATATATATATATATATATATATATGAATTTGAACAGATGGTGTTTTTGGCCTCTGTAGACCTCAAAACGAAAAAGAAAATCAGTCCCGGGGCCAGGTCTTACCATGAAACCTTTGGTAAAAGCTTATTCCCTATATGGGAAATTCGCTTAACATTACAATAACATTTCCTCAGTTTATAGGAATACCTAGTTATTCTTTCTTTGAGAGAGTCTTGGGTAAGGATACTCATGAATAGTAAAAAAATAAATATAAAGCTTACCAGGAACAACATTGTCCAGATGTATTTTCACAAACTTATCTCTGTCGGCCCTCGATTGTTCATGGAAAAGTCCGAGAGCATGTAAAAGCTCGTGAATAGCTCGTCCTTCGCTGCCGAGGCAGTTGGGGCCCTTCTCATCTGGGGCCTGGAGGGACACAATCTGAGCCCCTCCAAACCTGCCCACGTACGACCAGCATCTATAAATGAGGAGATTTGGATAAAGAAAGTTAAGATAATCCTCAACACTTGAATGGTGAACACACTACCTGTACGCAACAAGATAGGGATCACCATCAATTCAAGACAACTTCCCTCCTTTGTTGTAGAAATCCAAACATGTTTTGATATGTTTAATGTCTAGACTCTACTGCTAACTTAACAGAATGGAAGAAAAGGATTGATACAATAGAACCTCTCTTGTCCGACCTTGTGATGTCCAAAGCTCTACTTGTTTACTGTCTGGGGCGATAACGCCGAGCGTGATCGGTTAACTGAAAAGCCGATCGCAGATGTTGACGTAATCGCGGCAGACGATCACCACTGTCGCTGATAAAGGGTGTTGCAGCCATTGCAAGATACAGTTACAGAAGTCGTGGAGACTGCAAGTTATGGTCACAGGTGGTGTTGCGGTCATGAGAGACGATTACCAAAGTAGCGGAGACTGCAAGTTAGGCTCGCGGGTAGTGATGGGCGATACGGACGCGTATCGCGATACGATACATATCGGAAAAAAATATCGTATCGCCATATTGAATCGGGTGTCTGTATCGCGATACGCGAATCGTATCGTCAAAAATATCGAAAAGAAAAACGATACGTATCGTATCTTTCCCCCCTCCCCTACCTAACCTAGAAACGGCAAATTTTATATAAGTACCTGGGGACCAAGCTTTGCTCGGGGAAAATCATTAGTTTACTCTGAAAACAGTCTTAGTATTGCAGATACATTAATATTAATCCATTTCCACAGTCACACTGCTCGCCTTTACTACTTCCTTCACAACTCCCTACGTCTTGGACCTGTTTCCCTATCCTTCCCATAGCATTTTAGGATTGCAGATACATTAATGTAATTGCCACAGACAGTTCCCTCCCACCACGGCCGCCTACACTCTGCACTGCTAGTGCTAGATAGCACGCTAGTGGAAATGGACTGGACTGGGATGGGACTGGTACATTATCAAGTAAAAACCAAAAACACAGACGTCAAAAACTCCTATTTCAAACTACACATCCACAGAGTACAGATTTTGCAGTTTGCTCGGCCTGCGCAAAAAAAGCTTAAAAATATCGTTTTGACATAAATCGTATCGCTCTATGTGCCGATATAAATACAAATATCGTTTTAGGCGATACGATACGTATCGTTTTTCAAATATCGTATCAAAATATCGTATCGTCCCCCGAATATCGCGATATTCCGATATGATACGATACGTATCACACATCACTACTCACGGGTGTGGTCGTGAGAGACGATTACCGAAGTCGCGGAGACTGCAAGTTAACGCTCACGGGTGTTACCGCTGTTGTGAGAGACAATTACTGATGTCACGGAAACTGCAGGTTATACTCCTCCCGATATCCGACCTTGGCCCGGTCCCGTCATGGTCGGATATGAGGGGTTCTACTGTAGTCAGCAAAAAAATCAATGATGTAACTTTGCTAGACCTGTGACTTTTTACTACTTGTTCACTATTTTACTTGAATCGCCTAATTTAAAAATATTATCAGCAGATGTATGTTGCTGACACAATATACAAATATTACAATGGAATAAAAACTGCTTTATGTAACTCCAAGACAGGATACTTGACCACTGCCCCTGTTTTTTTACCCCTCCCCACTTGAGAGTATTCCACACCACCATCAGTGTACCCCTCCCCCCCCCCCAAGGGTCATCTGAGTTACGCCTATGAGAGAAATCATCTGTGTTTTGTGTAGGCTTAATTGTTACTGACTAAGATCAGCGGTTTCATTAGTCAGGATCATTTATTTATTTTTAAGTCCAATAATTAGGGACGGATGGGTCCAGTTTCCAACCATCAAAAAGGTATCGACTTTTCTTAGGATCAATCCGGCAACCTTTTAATTGTTAGGCAAGCACTATAACTGCAGTAGACTCCCTCTTATCCGGACTCTTCAGGACCAAGGCCAGTCCAGATAACAGATTTTCCGGTTAAACCGACTTCCCCAAAAACCCAGTATAACGGACCGTTTAAATGCATACTGTATACAGTATTTGACTTAAATTTAGGAGAGCATTGTATTTAGACACGTGATCACTGGTCTCAAAACTTTCCCACGAGAACAGTCGTTTTAGTACTGCCCACTTCCTGCTCATCTAGTCCGGTTAAACCGATGTGCTGATATAAATTTGCTGGTTAAAGAGATGTCATTTTAGCCTAGTGTAGTCCGGTTAAAAGGTTTCCGGATAAGAGGGAGTCTACTGTACTCAGCTACCCAGCCATATAGAGTAAGTATCTAAAGCTTTTAGTGACTCAAAAATTATCTTTTAGTAGGTTATAGTATTTATTATTCTTATGCTATTCACTTACCCCTTTGGGTATTTGATCGGCCAAATGAGTAGGAAGTCTTTTGATTTTCCATTCCAAGGCACAAATTTGATGCACGTCATGAAGTTTATTGTTGTAATAGCTTTGTAAATTGTTATGTAGTTGTCTGGTTCTAAAACGTAGGTAGCACTATTAGTTTTTTTCTTAAAATAGTTTACTCTCCTAGTAAAGTAAAACAAAAATTATCAGAAAACTATCATTAATCTCTAAACTTCAATCTGCGATTAAGTATTTTCTTACCCATAAAAGTCACCTCTAAAAACTACTTCTAAATACAGAGTGTTAAAAAAGATGGGGACATAAATTTGGATAATTTACGTAGGTTCACGTAGCTGTAGCCTAACTAGCCTTATTCTACCTCATTCACAAAAAAAATTTTTATTTCAGCTATTTTTATTTGATCTTTTTGAGCTTTATTGTGTTGTTTGATAGGAGTTTTTAAATACAAAATAAAAAAAATACAAAATGGCGGATATTTGGTTAAAGAAGTGATTTTAGAAAAGGTTTTATTCTTGATTTCCTCCTTATTTTCACCTAAGAAATCTATTCGTAAATTATGTCCCCAACTTTTAATACCCTGTATACCGTAATCACTATAATCGAATGAAAAGTATACTAAATAGCAGAGGCAATACTCCTCATACTTTTCTTCTAGATATACAGCTGGATCTACATCTGATATCATTCTGGATCTACAGCTTAAGTTTGGGCTTCAAACCTGTTCAACCATCATGTCAAAAAAAATAATAAGTATCAAATTAGTCTTAGTAATGTGCTGGATTTAAACCTAAAATGTTACTCTTATTTATAGAACAAAAAACTAAACTAGATTATTGTGTCCCATTTTTATTTGGTTTTTCACTCCGTACTTGTTTTAAAGGTCTGATAACTTTTTACTAGCTCAAAAGTGTCGTATTATTAAACACCAAAATATAACAGTTTTAAACAATTTTTTTTAAAATCTAAATTACACTAAGCTATTTTAAGACTGGAAGACTTAGCTGGTGCCCTCAAACTCGTTAAAAGAACTTTATATTTGTGTTAATTATTTTAATAAAAGCGAGTTGAAACCAGGTTTATATTGTGCCAATAATTTAAAACACAGATTAATAATAATGTCACCCTTAGTGATGAATAGTGGCTACCCAGTTAAAATTATGCTTATTTGGTTAAAGAAAGTAACTTTCCTGACAGGGACAGGCTGGTGTCTACTTTATTTAAAAGTATTTTGGGGATGACAACTTAAAAATAGTTAATTCAAGAATTATTTGAATGTAAGCTTTGAAGTGTGACATATAGGCTACGTATAGGCTATACAGTATAATACTTGGATTTTAAAATTTATAATTATCCACCACAACAATCTATTTGAAGTATAATAATTTTTTGCTTACCATACAAAGGGCTTATTACGTAGGGAACTGTACGATTTTCCCAAAGCTTCTCAGGAAAAACATCCCATCGTAAACCAACCCGCCAATGTTCAAATGCCTGTAAAAGTCAAAATCCTATTGGTAAAAAAATACTTGGATTGGATATACATTCCAGTTAACCTGTTGTATTTCAATAGATTTCTGTATGATTACTAGAAACAGCAATGCAGTAGGCAAACAATGCAATATCATACTAATTTTGTCGGCAGCCATAATGCAAATACGAACTGAACATAATACACTTTATTTGTTTAAAGTTTAAGTTTTTTGTTTAAATACAGCAACTTTTCATCTGCAGTTTCTATAGAATATCTTCAATGTTGTAAACTTCCAAATAAGGACAACTAAGTGTATTTTTGATTTTCAGGTCACCAATGTTTATTTGATTTCTGGTATGGAAAAATACAATATTTGATAAATCATTATCATTACCTATCCTTCTAATGTCTCAATGTAATTACAAACTCTTCACAAGTCTTTAGAACCTTCAGAAGTTTCTTTTCAGAAAAACATGGAGCATATAATGCGTTGAATTCTTTTGGTATAAAGCAGTAGTAGACTAACTACAGTAGTATATTTTCCTTATACATAATAAGGACAATAAATATACCTCGTCTGTAAGGGCCATGTCTCCCTGGAACAAAGCTGGCGTGACTTCTGGATCCTCTTCATCCTCCAGTCCTTCTTCTCCCACTGGGAGTTGTGCTATAATGGATGAGAATCATTTATCAGTGTATACTGTATTGAATTTTGGCATTATAGTTGTTCAGCATTGTTTTCTAAAGAAACTACCTGATGCTAATGTACGATGAAAATAAATTCTCTGAAATTGATCTACTTTCCAACATGATAAGATACTTACCAGACCAGTAGAATAAGGTTGACAACCAATTTGAAATATTATTTTGCAAGGGGAGACTGTACCTTTTCTGGTTCAATGCTTTTTTTATGAAGATTCTATACAAGTTCGAGTACATATAGCACAAAAACCACTCAACCTACCATACTGCTTTTTGCACACTTAATTATCACATCCATATCGTTATGTTAAACCACGTTTTAAAGAAATGTATCTACATAAAATTTATTTTAACCATTAAAAAAATACTTTTTTTACAATATAAAAAAATATATGTTTGTATAAAAATGTATCACTAATTAATATATGTTTGGTTTAATGTACTCATCAAGTACCCAGACTGATTCATGCCAAATTTAATGTCTTTATGTATTACAACTATGTGTTACCTAAAGATAAAGAAAATTTGGAAAAGCGTACAGCACATTACTTAAAGCCATAAGAATAGTGTAGCCAAAATCTCGGTAGAGTTATCTTTGTTTATTTATTGTTATCATAAGAAGCTTTCTGATATTCTAAGTATTATATATTTTCTTAATCAGGAAGAAACGTAGATTAATTTGAGATGAAAAACAAATATTGAATTTTTTAAGACATGAAATAAGGTTCAGTAGACTTTAACTAAGTATTACCATCTTTTCTACGAGAAGCGTTTTTGTTGGACAGAAGTGATAAATAATTTTGAGAACAAATTATTTATATTTGTAATTTTTCTAAGTAATGAATAAGCATGAATAACATTTTTTTACATGCATAATATAGGTACTCTGTACAAAAGGGAGCAATTTAATTGAATTTCCTTTTGTAATGATAAACTTTATCTATTTACTTTACTTGAACACGTATGTTAGGGTTATTAAATAATGCCCAATGGTGTGTTACTAGCTTTTTTATGTTTCAATGATTCTCTAGTTGATTCATTTATTATTTTAATTGAGTTTTTATTGTTGATTTTCTCCAAGATATTACGTATTGTACATGTTTACTCAAATGTTTTAGATAAATTTAACATTAAGAATTGATTGATAAAATAATAATAAACCAACAATATTTAGAAAAATACACACAAAATATTTTAATCTTGTTCGTACAACTGAAACTAACAAATTGTGACAATTACCAACACAAATTACAAACCTGATTCAGGTATGGGTGGTTTGACGGTGTCGGAAAACGCAGGGATGTTGAGCGCAACAGTTCTGGCATAGACCAAGCCTAGTAGTCCTAGACACCCTGTAGTGGTTAACACAATAATACAAGCCCGCGGACAAATCATTCCACTGGCACCGACACATTACACAGGTTAGGTTAGGGAGACTCAGCCATCAGGTCGATGACCTTGCCTTCTCAAACCTGTTGGAATCCTAATCAGAGTTTATCTCATTACCATACATAGGATCTTTGCCCACACACAGGCTCGATCCGTTACGGTGTTGAATTACTGTCATAAAGAACAATCTAGCAAATTACACACTGACTTGTGTGGTTTGATTTCGCACAAGTTTCAAAAAGATGATTGTAAAGTTTTTCAAGAGTTGAAACTTTGATTCTTGGGTTAACAAGATTTGTTAGTTTGGTTTAAACTTTTTGCTTGTAATAGTTTGATGTGTAACTATCACACTTTATAATCAAAGAAATCATTCAAGTTATTAGTATTGATAAAATTACATCTAATGTATTTTTTTATGTTTTTTGCAAGGGATTGGTTGAAACCCTGGTCTTCTTACCTACTACCTACTGTCGGTCGCCCTTTTTGTTAGCTAGGATTATTGACAGATAAATTACCGATGACAAAAATGGCATCTGGCTCCAAAACCTGCCCCATTTGGGGTCGAACCAGCAACCTTCAGACTTGAAAATGAGTTCTACACAGACAATATCAATATGTCATAAGTTTTGGAAATGGAAAATGTATCCTACATTTTAGAATAATTTAAAGACCACTGTCAGTTCTAACCTTATAACTATACATTTACACTCTGTGGATTTTTAAACATGTACATTGTAACTTATATAGGTAAACTAGATATGGGATGTTTATAAATACAATACCCCCGCAGCAGCAAACCTGCCGACTAAGCGAATTTCCATTTACCTGAATTGATTTCAATTAAATCTATTTAATTAACATTAGGTTCAACGAGTACCTACCTAGGTTTGCTTCTACAGGGAAACTAATAAAGTGTTTTTTTTTTTTTTTTTTAGTAAAGTATTAGCTTAGTATAGAATAAATAAATTTACCAAGTTATTATAAAACATTGAAACAATATGGAACAAAATTTGTAAAACATTTTGTGAAGACAGAAGCACAGTTTTTTTTCTATCACACTATGTGACACAATTAATTGCTAATTAATTTCTATGCTGAATGATATCCATGGTAGTTTTACAAACATCAAGTACATTTTCATGGTTTTACATGAAGCATGCTATATGTTCAAGATTTTTTTTAGCATCCGCAAGGTGTTGAAGTGAAACCAATTCTATTCTAATAACTGTTAATTGTTATTGTGATGCAAACCATGAGTATAAACACAATTTGCAAGTGTTAAATGAGTTTTGGTAGTGATGAAACAATTTGAGATAAGCAAACATGTACCAATACAAATAAATAGTCTGTATTCCTGACTTCCTTCTCGACTAGCTGCCTTTGTCATATTGCCTCTTTTATTTCAATTGTTTCAGTTTTATCTTGTCTTCTATCTCTGTTTTTATCTGTGGCTTAAGACTTTCTTCCAACACTGGTAGTAGTGTTTTTGTTGTTCTAGCCATCAGTAATTGAGCTGGGCTGGCTCCAATTCCTTTAATAGGTGAATTCCTCAACTCCAACAATGCAACACTCAAATCTTCTTTGTTTTCTTTAACCTTTTTAATTAGTTTCTTTGCCACTTTCACATATGATTTGGCTTTTCCGTTTGACTGATGATTATAAGGTGACAAGCTTACTACTTCAAATTTCCACTCTTTAGAAAACTCCTTTAAGGTATTCCATATCTTGAAAAATGTTCTTTTTGCAAATATTAATTAGTCCTGCTGTTTTAACCCTTCCCGGACGTGCGAAATCGTAACATAGAACGGGAAAAAGTTAAAGGAAAAATTGTATTTTCCTTATTTGTGTTTTGTTATACAACTATACATAAAATAAACACAATGGAACACTTAATACTGTCAAAATAAGTTTTAACTCGTTTTTAACTATGCGTATATATCCGCTACCCGTCCCCGGATGAGAAGAAAAGCAGCGGATATATTCGCCCCCCATCTTTTAAGATATGACCATGAGAACGTTAGGCATTAAATAAAGAACAATATGTAAACAACAAATAAAGACAACGTAGTGTTGAGCGCGAAACGTCGAGGGGGATGTCATTAGATTAATTATTAAATAATTGTACTGAACTCAAGAAAGGTTGTTTATTTCTAATTCAACAAAAACTCAATCCAAATATAAAAACAATAACACAAAACATATGTAGAACAATTACCATATGTTATAAACATATTAACTACTACTGTCATCCCTCCTTCACAAGTCAAATTTATTTGGTGTTCTTCTAATCCTTTCCCCTCGTCTTACAACAGGAGCTGAGTCATTGTTATGTTCTTCTGACCTAGACGATTGACCTTTATTCACATCATGGGAGATTCTGAATGACTTGTCTCTTCGTAGGAACCATGAGTTTCTTCGGTATTCTCGTCCATCACCAGTCTGGATTTTGTACGATCGTGGTTCAGGACCAACTTCTACATATGTTTTAAACATATTAACTACTACTGTCAGGGGAAGTGTAGGAGAGCGGGGGGGTGCGCGGGAGAGGGGTAGGCGTTGGAGAGAGGGGGGAGTGCGGGAGAGAGCGCAGCCATGGAGAGAGCAGGAAAGTGGCGCCTTGGTAGCACGAAACATCTGGTTACTGCTCAAGCACCTGCCAGTCTGTCTGAAGAGAAGGCGGATATATCCGCCACCCATCCTTTATCGCCAGAGACTTAGGCGGATATATCCGTCACCCGTCCGGGAAGGTTTAAGTGAGTAGACTTTTCTTAGTTAAAAAAATCACGAATAGTAGTCAACCACGATTGGAAAATTATCTTTTTTCAATTTGAAAAATAAAATCAACTCCTACTTTTTGCCAGGGTTGAGATGGAATTTCATGAGGTTTTAAGGGTTCTTTTCTTTGTGAGGATGCATACTTCTGACAAGGCCATAAGGCCTATAGCATCTTTCCATAGTCGATTTAATATCTTTTGTCATTCCTGGCCAAAACATCACTTCTCTACTGGCTCGATTCTATGCCTTGATGAGAAGAATGTAATTTCTGTAACATTGACAGTCTCAGCTTTGCTGGAATTACAAGCCGTTCTCCTTTCAAAACTAAACCTTCAGCTGTTGTCAGTTCATCTCTTATGTTCCAGTATTGCTTTAAGTAATTTGAAAGTTTTCCCTTCTTTTCAGGCCATCCTTCGTTTATGGTCTTTGCTAGTTTAGCCATCATAAGACATAACTTTGTTTCCTCTTGTACTTCATTTATCCTGAATCATTTCATTTATCATTCATTTATCATAATTGACTCCATTGACAGAAATGAGAAGGTAATTGGAATTTTTCTCGACTTTTCAAAAGCATTTGACTCTGTTTCACATAAGAAATTGATAGAAATTCTTCACGGCTTAAATATAAATAATAAAGAGCTTAAGTGGTTCAGTTCATACTTGCAAGGAAGGCAACAATGTGTCCAAATACAGCATAATTTCTGCCATCCAAATAATAAATACTCTTATACTCAAAATGTTTACTCTGAATACAAAAATATTAAATATGGTGTCCCCCAGGGATCTATTTTGGGCCCTCTTTTATTTCTTTGTTATATGAGGGGGTTCCCACTAGCTGTCGATGGAGGAAGTTCAGTGTGTCTTTATGCTGATGACACCAACATCACAGTTACAGGCAATTCCCAAGAGGAAGTCGAACTGAAATCTTTTCTAAATCTTTTATCAATTAATGATTTCTCAAGTAGCAAAAATCTCCTAATAAATTACAGTAAATCAAATTTTGTATCATTCTCCACAAAACAATCAAGATGTAAATTGAACCCGAATATTTACCTTGATAATTCAAACTTGAGTCAAGTGGAGTACACAAAATTTCTCGGATTGATATTGGATCAAAACCTAAATTGGGATAAGCATGTTGAGCATGTAATTGATAAAATGTCAAAAGGTAGATATGCCCTGAGACAAATTAATGTCAAGGGTGTGTGATATTGATACTTTAAAAACCATATACTTTGCATTAATAAATTCTCACATATCCTATGGTATAGCAATTTATGGAGGAACTACCCAGAAAAATTTGGATAAAATTCTTCATCATCAAAAAAAAGCACTCCGAATTATTTTCAAAATTAAAAATAAACTAATAAACGCCAATCAATGAAACCATTTTTTTCTAAATTAGGTGTTATGACAGTCTATGACTTGTATATTTATGAAACTATATTACATGTAAAAAAATTAAACCTCCAAACTAATAGTACAAATATTCGACACTATAAATTAAGGCATACTAGGCAGGTTGAACGACATAAATTAAAGTTTTTTGAGAAGAAATGTATTTTCATTGGCATAAAATTCTTATTTAATTTACCTAAAGTTATAATAGAGGAAAAACGTTTTGACGTTTTTAAAAAAAGATTGAAAAATTATCTCCTTTCATTGTCTTTGTATTCTTTGGATGAATTTTGGAATTCAAGAGAAATCATAAATGATAGTTTAGAAAGATGATTTGATTTAATTTTGTTTTGTTTATTATTCTTAAGCTTAAAATTTGTTTTGAAAAGATAATGATTGTTTTAGCGATAAGTAAAGCATAATTCATCTTAATATTTATTTGACGCTATTCATTGTATAAAAACTTGTACTGTGAATGAATAAAGAGAATTTGAATTGAATTGAATTGAATTGAATCCTCTGGTCTGTTATGTTTATGTCATTCAAAACTTCTATTTGTTTGATTTCATTTTGAAATATCAGTGCTTTATCGATTTTGTAACCTTGTGTGTCTTGTAAAGGTGCTTTTGATAAGAAGTCTGCTATGACTATGGATTTTCCAGGTCTGTAAATAAAATTGAAATTGTATCTTGAATGTCTTAGTAGCATTCTTTGTAATCGTCTTGGGGCAGAAACAATCGGCTTCTTAAATATTAACTCAAGTGGTTTGTGGTCTGTTTCCACAAGAACATCATTCCTTCCATGGATGAATTGCTCAAAACTCTGAAGTCCAAATACAATCGC